AAAGGATAAGGGTAGAAATTCTATTTTGGGACTTCAAGGCTAAAAACATGCCAATGAATAATAATTAGATTTATACTTCAAAAGAGAAGTTATTTTAAGATCTTTCACTTCCATATAAGGAAAGAATATTAAACGATTTGCTATGAGTAATAAATAAATTGATGAGGCGTAAGAATACAGAAAAAGGCAATAGTGACTGGCCTCTTCACAACTTTTAATCATCCTATATAACGCAGGAGCAATGTTTTTGCGTATGCTTTTTGTTGTTTATCATGCTTAAATAAAATCCGTCAGCTTAGACGGGACATGGGTCTCCCCCCATCTCCAGCGGGAGGGGGCTAAGATGTATGCTTTCACCATCGCTACTAAATAAAAAAGATTATGCACAATATGGACTCGTTAATCATGCTGCTTTGACTGTAAATAACTAAAAAATAACGGTGTGGATCCACCGATATTATATATATATATATATATATATATCATAATCTCTAATCATAATCTCATAATAGTAGTCTCATAATCATATTCGTAATAAAATTCGTTATTCCTTAATAACACTATAATAATCACAATTATTCGAAGACACAGCAAATTCTGTAATAATAACTAACATTTAATAACAGTAATTCTTAAAAGCGTTTTGCGTCGAGAACAAGTTTTGTTAGTCTTCGAAAATTTTAATGAACTAAATGACGTGGCTTGCTATGGATTCGGTAAGTTTCAATGAATTATGACTATGAATTACCTTCACTATAAATGCAATAAATTTCAATGAACTACGATTGAAGCAATGAACTGCTTTGCTTATTAGATTCGATAAATTTTAATGAACTATGACTGAAGCAATAAAGTTCTTTTCCATAGTTTTATTAGCTGCAATGAACTAAGATTGAAGCAATGAAACAGCTTATTGTACATTCGGTAAAATTGAATGAACTAAGATGGACGCAAATGAAATGTGTCCCTATAGATTCAGTTAATTTAAATGAGTTTAGCTCTTATAGGTAAGTCGCCATATAATATTTCCGTAATAGCTATATTGTCTTTTATTTCAGATATGATTAGTAGCTCTAGCAACTGATCAAAGAGAAGTCGAATTTAACCATCAAAATTTAAATGATTCGTGCCCTAAATCTTCAATGGTAAGCCGATATTTAAATTAACTGATTTACATAGATTCATTGAACTTCAAAGAAATATAATGAAGCAATGCAGTGCTTTGCTGTATGTCAGGTAAATTTTAATAAACCAGGATTGAAGCAATCAAGGGTATTGCTGTAGTTTTGTTAACTTCAATGAACTTTGAATGAAACAGTGAAGTATTTTACTATAGATTGCGGTAAATTTCAATGAATTAGAATTGGAGCAATGAAGTGCGTCTTTATAGTTTCGATACATTTTAATGAACTATGATTGTTGCATTGAATAGCGCCGCTGTAGATTTGGTAAATTTAATTGTGAAAAGCTTGAAGTAATAAACTCGTTTAATAAGGATTCGGTAAATTCCAATGAATTAGAATTGGAGAAATGAAGTGCGTCTTTATAGTTTAGATACATTTTAATGAACTATGATTGTTGTATTGAATAGCGCCGCTGTAGATTTGGTAAATTTAATTGTGAAAAGCTTGAAGTAATAAACTCGTTTAATAAGGTTTCGATGAACTCCAATGAATTAGAATTGAAGCAATGAAGTGCGTCTTTATAGTTTAGATACATTTTAATGAACTATGATTGTTGCATTGAATAACGCCGCTATAGATTTGGTAAATTTAATTGAGGAAAGCTTGAAGTCATGAAATGGTTTAATAAGATTCTGTAAATTTGAACTATCTAAGATTGAAGCAATAAAGTGTAACTCTATGACTAAAACCTAGTGAGCTCAAAACTTTTAAAATAAAAGATTTCTGTCCCATTTAGTCTGTTTACCTCTAAAAAGTTCATTCGTGCAAAAAGAAGTGATTTCCGTGATACATTGACACATGACGTTTACAAAATATTTGATTCAATCGGTTGTTCACTTCTTATTTCTGCTTTATTTCCAAAAAAAGATATAATATTTTATATTTTGGATAAAAACGTTTAGCCATTATTCATTCTTTAAGAACAACATTGTATGTTTTTCTTCATTTTTATAGATCACTGCTCTATTTATGTATTTATTCATCAAAACTTGGCTGGAGTCTGTGGCAGGTATCATTTTCTCTCTTCGCAAAGAGAGTTAAGTTTTGAAATATGTACTCACTCACACAAAATGACCCCAAACTTCAAAAACAACTAATGAAGGAATAAAATAAAGTACAGATGGCGCTGTTTGGAAAGAATCATCATTTATATGAACAAATAAAGAGGTATAAGAAGGCACATAAAAAGGCCGAATGGGCCAGGAGGCACTTTAGTGAAAATATTTAGTAAATCTCTTTTGGAACAATAATAATAAGAGATCCTAAAGAATTTCAATGTGAAAAAGTATGGAATAAAGATCGTGTAATGAACTATTATAGATCACAAAAAAATAATAGCATATCATTAAGATAATGAAACTATAATATAACAGCATGTTTCGTTGTACAGTAAAATATTTTTTTTGTTTTAGAAGTCACTGTTCCAGTTTTAAGAAATAGCTCATTTTTTATTGAAGAACTTTATTTTGAAATTGCCACGTAATGTTTTTTTTTCTCGAATGTTTTCAGAGTTTTAATTGGGCTTCGAGGAAAAAAAAATATGCCCGGGTATAAATAAAGTTCTTTATGATCGATAAAAAAAAACTATGAAAAACTTGTTATCTCCACTTTAAAATTACCGGATATATTGATTTTTCTTAAAGTTTTTGTCTAATATTAGGGGATTATATATTAGTACTTGTACTTTAAACTCTAGGGCAATACTGCGACGAGGCAGAAATGAATCATCGTGAGCACCGATTCAATAACAGAATTTTTAATAGCAATGGTTAATTACAATAAATTGTAATTAGCATGCCTTGCAAGAAACAAAAACGATTAAATGCGGGTTTTTAATGGCACAAAGAGGGATTGCTTATGGAGCTTGATTTATTGAATTTGGAGTTTATTGGCACAACAAGGAATCGCTCATCAAGATTGACTAATTGAATGCGGATTTAAATGGCTGAATGTAGATTTTCACATCAAGAGTAACTTATTGAATGTTGGTGTAGGTGGCTTAGTGTGGGATTGCTCATTAAGAATGACTGGTTGAAAGTGGACTTTGATGGCACAATGAGAAATCACTTAGGAGTGATTTATTGTATGTGTGTTTTAATGGCAAAATTATGGATTACATATCAAGGTTGATTTATTGAATGTGGGTTTTGGTGACATAATGAGATATTGCTCATCAAAATTGACTGATTGAATGTGGGTTTTAATGACAAAATGAGGGATTTCACATCAAGATTGATTTACTGAATGTGGGTTTTAGTAGTACAATGAGGGATTTCAGGTCAAGATTGACTTATTAAATGTGGGTATTAATGGCAAAATGAGGGTTTTCACATCAAGATAGATTTATTGAATGTGGGTTTTAGCGGCATAATGAGATATTGCTCATAAAGATTGACTGATTGAATGTGGGTTTTAATGACGAAGTTATGGATTACATATCAAGATTGATTTATTGAATGAGGGTTTTAGTAGCACAATGAGATAATGTTCATCAAGATTGACTGATTGAATGTGGATTTTAATGACAAAATGAGGGATTTCACATCAAGATTGATTTACTGAATGTGGGTTTTAGTAGTACAATGAGGGATTTCATGTCAAGATTGACTTATTGAATGTGGGTTTTAGTGGCAAAATGAGGGTTTTCACATCAAGATAGATTTACTGAATGTGGGTTTCAGCGACATAATGAGATATTGCTCATCAAGATTGACTGATTGAATGTGGGTCTTAATGACTAAAATTATGGATTGCATATCGAGATTGATTGATTAAATGTGGGGTTTTAATAGTATTGTGAGATATTGTTCATCAAGATTGACTTATTGAATAGATCAACAATATTTGCTTGTTAAATGAATATTATAATCGCTCAATGAGGGATTTCATATCAAGATTGATTTATTGAATGTGAGTTTTAATGGTACAATAAAGGATTGTCCTTTGAGATTGACTACTTGCCTGCATGGCTTATTGACACAATGAAGGCTTGCATAAAGAGAGGAAATATAGTTTAGAGTGTATATTGGCGTTTTCTTTATTTATTTGAATTACGTAAGAGAAATATGTATGAATTAGGGCATGAGAATTATGCATCCATCTTGAATGAAAAGAAGCTCTTTCAGAATAATTTGAAATTAAAATTTTGAACAAAGGTCATATTGAATGATTCGGTACTATTATTGTCGAATTATTCACCTGAAATTTCGCATTCATCTATTGTATATGGTTTTACAATACGCTACCATTCAAATACATATTCATCATTTAAATTTCGGATACGTTGCCTATTTACAACCTAACACTGATGAAAATATTGACTATGTAATGAACTGACGGAGTGCTTATTTTTTTTCCTTGTTCGAGATTAAATATATTTTATGCATTCATTTGAGAAAGGGCGGGAAGAAGTTTATTATTTACAATAATTAATTCAGTCTGTCGTAAAATATTTAGTATTACATATGAATATAGATTACTGCAATAATACTAATTTTCTTACAATGAAGCTCATAGGTAGTTGTATCGAAAATTTTACATTATAATTTCAACATTAATTTGAAATTTAAACAGTCATAACTTGTCTCTTTATGATTTAAAATCTAAATTGGCCGAAATATTAGTCGATATTTAATGCCAATTAATAAATTTGTTTCACATAAGTAAAGTTTTTTTCCCCATGAACTAACGCAATTCAGAACTTTATTAGTTGGTAAATTGCAAATTTTTCATATTTGGTTCAGTTAATTTCACTTCATTTTACTAATATTTATGCAAATAGTTTATATGTATATAGATTCTATCTATAATGCTCAATTATGCAGCTTTTAAACTTTGAATTAAAAAGAAAAACACTATAATGTTGTAAAAATGCTTTTAATCGGCAGATAATCAGCTTTTTCAGGGAATGGAAAAGTAACTACGAAAACCTCGCATGTTATGCCCGACTGTCCCAAGAATCTGTCTTCAGCACATTGCAAGTAGTCCCACAGATCGTAAAGACGTGGTTCCCAGTAGAACGTCGAAGTCAAGCATCACTGGCTGCGGTCAGTAAGCGGGTGGGTGACCACTGTTACCAGTCTGCGTAAGAACCGTGGGTGTGCGGTATCAATTCTCGTTAAACTGCTCTACAGTTAAGTGCTTGACTTCGCTTGCAGGTCATCGAACTTCCAAAGCAGGGGAGCCTCCCCTCTGCAGAATATCAAAATTGCGATGGCATGTCTTCGGATCATCCTCAGGGTTAGTGTTGTTAATTTACGTCGCACTAAAGCTGCACAATGGGCTATTGGTGACGGTCTGGGAAACATCCCGGAGGATGATCCGAAGACATGCCATCACAATTTTGATCCTCTGCGGAGGGGATGGCACCCCCGCTTCGGTAGCCCGACGACCTGCGCGCGAAGTCGAGCACTTTACGGTAGCACAGTTTAACGAGGACCAATACCGCACACCCTCGGTCCCTACGCAGACTGATCCAAGTGGTCACCCACCCGCACACTGACCGTAGCCAGTGATGCTTGACTTCGGTGATCTGTTGGGAACCGTGTCTTAACGATCAGTCCACTGCGGGACGATCATCCTCAGGGATGTCAATGGCCCATTATGCAGCTCTAGTGCTACGTTAATAAAGTACCTACCTAGTAGCTATGTAATTAAAAAAATCGTCGTTGTTTTTCCTAATCAATAATCATTCATTGATTAAAAATACTTTTAGCGAATCAATAATTGTGGCTGATTGTGTTTCGTTAATTATGCAAAAGCAAATATGTGATTCTTTTCTTAATTAAGGAAATTATGCAAAAGTATTTTTTTTCTCTCGCCTTGTGGAAGAATGCGAGTACTTTTATTTTCTTCTTTCCTCGGAAAGAACAAAAAAAAAATATTAACATCGTAAAAAATGTCGTTTTCAAGAAATGCAAAATACTTTAGCGCAGTAATTTTAATCTCTTCTTTCGCATTCATGAGTTTTTTTTCCTCATGCACATTATAACATTTTAATGATGAGTTTTGTTTTGAAAAGATGCTTTTTTGTTTCGAAAGTAGTCATAAAAGTTTAATCGTTTAATGACAAGAGGAAAATTACATTTATGAAAGAAACAAAAAATATTTCGCTTGACTAATTCCAAAAGAAATGTTACAGAAGAATATGCGTCGCTTTAAAAAAAAACTAACGCTGAAAGGTAATTTTACCATATGTTGTGAAGAAAATTAATAAAACTTTTTTTTTGAAGTTTGGAATAACATTTTAAGATAACTAAATTATTAACAAAGAATTACTTCTTCCATTTTTATGCTGAAGTATTGCTCTTATTTTAAAACGATTAAAGCTGTTGAAAAACTTAAAGCATTCTTCGTAACTTTAACTGGAGGCTGATTTCAAACTGAAATTGTGTCATTTGGTTGTTCATTATTCTAAAGATAATCAGTCAGGAAATTAATAAAAAAAACACGATCATTTATGAATTTATACCATATATCCTTGATAGACAAAATATTAAGCGATTTCTTTTAAGAATAATTTTTTACACAAAAAAAAAAAAAATCAAATTTTTACAGATAAAAAGCGGAAGAAAACCTGAAAAGTCGAGGCACTTTTGACTAAATTACTGCTAACATTATCAGAAACCACATGAAACTAGTTATATGCATCCGCCATGATATTGATGGAATAAAGAATATTTGTGAATGTTGAAAAAAATTGATTTGAAAAATTATGATTTTACTCTAAATTTATCAGTGTTCGAATTCGCGTACAGGTCGTCGGGCCATCACAGCAGGGATGGCATCCCCTCTGCAGAGGATCAAAATTGCGATGGCATGTCTTCGGATCATCCTCAGGGATGTTTCCCAGACCGTCGCCAATAGCCCATTATGCAGCTCTAGTGCGACGTTAATTAAGTACCTACCTACCTTTAACAGATATTGGAGGAAAAACACTGTTACAGAAAATATCAGTTAACCTTAATCGAGGATTTCTGAGCCACGATGGCTCAGGGGATAGAGAGCTCGCCTTCCAATGAGGAGAAACGGGTTCGAATACCAGCGATGGCTATTCGATACGAATTCCGCATCCGGTACGCATCGACCACACTGCTGACGCGAAATATCCTCAGTGTTAGGCGGATCATGGGCTAGAGTCATCTTGCCGTCAGGCTAACCGTGGGAGGTTCTCGTGGTCTATTCCTCTCCATGTAACGCAAATTCATGTTAGTTCCATCAAAAAGTTCTCCACGAAGCAAATTTCTACCAATACTTGATCCAGGAGTTGCCTTGTCTTCTGGATTGGGTTCAAAATTACAAGACTACGGAGTTGAACATTAGTAGTTGTTAACCCAAAATTGCGTCGGCTGTTCAACGACGGTTATAAAATAAAATAAAATAGAGGATCTCGATTTAGCATGCGTAATCCTTTATTTTTAAATTCGTTTTTTCTTCTTAATTGAAATAAAAATGCATAATCTGCAAATTGCCAGAGGAAATTTCAATTTTTTTTCCGCCAAAGAATTTTTTATCAATTTTCATATAATTATGAAAGGCAAATCGGATTACCTGCTGTTCCATTTTCTGTCACATTTCCCGTGTAGATGGCATAAGGAAAGAAAGGAGAATTGTCATTGATGTCTTTCAGATTGACCAGGACATCGGCATAACCCACGAGACCATTGCCTCCCTCGTCCTCGGCGAACACAGTGAATCGCCACTGGGATCGACCGTGGGGCAAATCTCGATCCAGAGGTTTCAGGACATAGATCTCTCCAGTCGTTGTGTTGATGGCAAACTTGCTGTTGGCCGGATCCTGATCGTCCACGCCTTGTCCTGTCAGGAAGTAAACAATGTCCGGTTTACGGTCCCGGTCACCATCAGTCGCTGTCACCTGCGATTAAAAATGGTTTGATAAGTTAGAAATTAAAACAAAATACACAAAGTTTGTAAAAAAAAAAGAATGAAAAGCAAAAGGGAGGAAGGAAAAAAAATGGCAGAAAGCTGGTTTTGTTTTTTGATAGATTTCTTTAACGCTCAAGGCACTGCACTTTTTCGGAATAAGTAGAAATGGAATGGATCAAGCTAAGAAAGTTCTCAGTTGCTTCAAATGGTTAATAAATAATTTTGTTTTATGCGGTCAAAATTCGTTCATGCGCAATAATATACTTAACGATTTAAGGGCACTTTAAGATCTATTGATTCCCAAGCAACAATTTTACCTTTGCCCCAGTTGGGTTCCAAATTAGCTCAATATGGCTCCTATAAGAATATGCACCGAAGGACCCATATTGGGATGTCTAGATTTTTTAATATGGGCCCTAGAATGGTCTCTATAGGGCCTACATAGGCCAATAAAGAACCTATATTGGCTAAATAATGGATGTAAAATATCGGGTGAATCAGAAAATTCTATATCGGGCCAATATCGGCAAAATAACGGTTCTTTGAACTCGCATTAACCAAGATTCATGAATATTAGCCCAAAGAAGACCCAATTTATTTTGCCAATAGGCCAATAAAGAACCTATATTGGCTAAATAATGGATGTAAAATATCGGGTGAATCAGAAAATTCTATATCGGGCCAATATCGGCAAAATAACGGTTCTTTGAACTCTCATTAACCAAGATTCATGAATATTAGCCCAAAGAGGACCCAAGTTATTTTGCTGCTAAGGTAACGATTTTCAAAGACTCCAGATATGCTAACTATTATTTACTAACCAGTAAGTTACGAAACAAAACTTTCGCTTTTTCCCTGAATAACTATTTTTTAAACGCATTAAATTTCTTAAGCTTAAAAAAATGAAAGAGGGAAATATTAATAATAAAAAAAATAGCTATGCTAAAAAGTTCGGAAAGTGGTGTATAGTTTGATCCCCTTAAGGTTCCTGAGTGGTGCAATTTGCATGAATTATAACAAAAACTTTTTTACGCGATATTATAAAAATTCTTTATTAAAAGAGAACTTTCTGAAAAAAAAAATAATTTCTATTATTTATCATAACTATTAATTGTTTTGAATGAAAAAAGTTTTATTAAAGAAATGGGTTGAATTTTTCTGAAGAAACAATAAAAAACGGGATTATTTTTTATTGAAAACAAAACCAAAGTTCGATGAATGTAATCTTTAGAGCAATAAATATATGATATAATTAGCTTTAAGAGTAATTTTGTTATCTATTGAATGTTTAAAGGGACAAAGTGACCGTTAGAGAAATGATGGAAGCAAACAGTCCGTAACCTGCTTTGAAATGTAAACATTGTATTTACATTTGAGGCTTCAATCGAGTTGTAATGGTGCTCAGTACTTTGTTACACTAAACTCTAAGCTGTATTTACGAACGCATCCTTTAAAACCAATTGTGGTTCTCCCTCTATGAGTTCAATTAAAAACATGACTTTTACAACTGCTTTTGTGAAAGTGCTCATTAAAAGACTGGATTGAAAAATAAAAAGCTCTCATCTGTAGATAGTATTTTTTATTTTAAATGAAAACTGCCAAATGTTGAGAGGAAAAAAATTCTGTAAAAAGTATATCTATAAGTTCTAATGGGTATTGTATATCTTACAGTGAATGGCCGAAATCAAGAAAATGTCGACTTTCACTGATGAATGTCATCAATCACATAGTCGCTTTGGTGGATGTCCAAAATATTTGTTATATCCGATTTTATACAAATTTATTCCCTGATATTATTATATTTATTCGATATTTTAATGTCTGCTGATGATAGATTAGGAGAAACATAAGTGTTCGGAGTATCGATTAAATACATACTGTGCAGTGGCACTTGACCTTAAAAAGCATTGATGTAGGGCATACCGGGCAAATGTATACCGGTCAGTGGCTCTTAAATTAGACCTAGACGTACATTTACCAACGTGACTATGTGATTGTCAACATTCATCGTTGGAAGTCAACAACCACGAATTTCTGTCATTCACAGTAACATATACAACTAATAGAGGACTGAAAAGTTGTAGAGAAGAGATCCCATACCTGCCAACTTTCACTCTGACAGATAATGGAGAANATGGATTTTCAGAGTGGTTGTAAAACAATAAACGAAAAACAATTTGACTCAAAAATATATTTATATTTTGATCCCATTGAAATTCGCTTGCGCAAGGATTATTATGCATTGATATATTTAATGTAATTATTTATATGTAGTGGTGGTCAAATTCATTTATAATTATCATTATAATTCAAAAAGTTAATTGGAATAACCCGAGTATTGCTACCACTTTAAATATGAAAATAAAATCTTCCGGAAAATCCGGAAGAGTTGGCAAATCCTGTAATTTTTTTTAAAATTTTTTTAAAAGTTAATAATCTTTGTGAAAAATGTTATATAAATTGGGAACAAAACAAAAGAAAGAATTTGACTTTATTTCGTTATGGTTCCTATTCATGCAGAGGAAATAATCTACTTCATTACACGATTTCCTTATTAATAAAGTACCCAATTAATATTTCGAATATTTTTTGTTTTATTTTATTCATCAATTTTTGTTCCATTAACTCGCTTTTTTTCTCCTTAAATATAAAAATTATAATTATCTAAAAAAATTTCTAACTTCAAAATTTGGTAACTTAAGTTCCACAAAAAATATTTTAATGAATTAGAATTGTTTTAAAAACGTTTGCTGAGTTATCTACTAAATAAGGAAATCGCGTTTATCTTCGTAGGTGCGTATAAAAAAACCATAATCCTTTTTCTGTCTCAAAATACCCTTAATTTATAAATATTTTTACAAAATCTAAATACTGGAGTCAATAAAATGATCTTATAGCTTCGGCAGAAAAAAAAAGAATAATAACGGGTAATTTTATTTAATGCCTGTAACGAGGTAGGGTCAAATGCAAATAAAAGATTTACTGTGAATAAAAAACAATATGACAGGAAAAAGGCATTAGAAATAAGTAAAAAAAAAACTTTTTTAAAATTCCGAAGAGATTATATAATTTATGGGTATCATTAATAATCACTTCCTTGCATTGTTGGGTGAAATATGAGATAATAAAGAAAAACAAAATACCGTAATAAATAGAATTATGGCTTTTAGGTACAGTTACAGTTTTTTTTTTTACGATACCATAATGCCATTGATTGAAGAAACACGATTATGTCCTTAGCGCACCTGAAATTCTGATATTTACTTTGGAATTTAGAGTTAAATTAAGAAAAAGAAAGAATTTTACGATTTCCATACTTATCTTGTCGAATTCACACTTTAAAGTCGTCAAAGGAAGGGATTTCAGAGACAGTTGCCGCCATTTACAAATGTTTACACATGAAACTGTCTTTTAAAACACGTTTAATTAACTATCTAATAGAATTGATTGCTTAAAAGTAAACAGCAAGTCATGTTTCAGTCAGTGATAAATAACGCGTTTTGTTTAATAAGCGCATTCATCTCCATAAAACAGTCAAATAGTTAGACATGTTCTTTGCAGATTATAACAGAGAAGAGTACTGAATTGAAGCATATTGCGCGGAAATCGCCAAGAGTTCGAAATATTAACCCCTTTACTGTTTTCTAATTAAGATTTTAAAAGATGATTAAATACTGATAAAATTTTTGTACATACTATTTAGACACGCCATGTTTTCAATGGTGAGAATTTCAATTTTCAGAAATACAAGATATGAGTTTCTCGATATTTTTTACATCAAAATGTTAAAGTATGTTCTCTGAAGTATTTCTCAGACTTTTCGAATATCAACCTTGGTTATTTCATTGAAAAAGAAAATAGTGTAACTATTTATTTGTCCGAATGTCTTTTATTTTTTCGATGTTGAATCGTTTATTCGCGCAGTTAGTATGTAGGCCTTATTTGCAATTCAACTATTTACTTCTATGAATGCTTTTTTTAAAATGTATTTTTTAAGCCTAACATTTTTCGATTTAGAATCGTTTATTCGAGCAGTTAGTATGTAGGCCTTATTTGCAATTCAACTATTTATTTCTACAAATGTTTTTATTTTATTTATTTTTTAAGCCTAAAATTTTACGATGTTCGCGCAGTTAGTATGTAGGCCTTATTTGCAATTCAACTATTTATTTCTATGAATGCTTTTTTATTTATTTATTTTTTAAGCCTAACATTTTTCGACTTTGAATCGTTTATTCGCGCAGTTAATATATAGGCCTTATTTGCAATTCAACTATTTATTTCTACAAATGCTTTTTTTTTAATTTATTTTTTAAGCCTATTCATGCAGTTAGTATGTAGGCCTTATTTGCAATTCAACTATTTATTTCTACGAATGCTTTTTTTAAATTTATTTTTTAAGCCTAACATTTTTCTATGTTGAATCGTTTATTCGCGCAGTATGTAGGCCTTATGTGCAATTCAACTATTTATTTCTACGAATACTTTTTTTAAAATTTATTTTTTAAGCCTAAAATTTTTCGACTTTGTATCGTTTATTCGCGTAGTTAATATATAGGCCTTATTTGCAATTCAACTATTTATTTCTACAAATGCTTTTTTTTTAATTTATTTTTTAAGCCTATTCATGCAGTTAGTATGTAGGCCTTATTTGCAATTCAACTATTTATTTCTACGAATGCTTTTTTTAAATTTATTTTTTAAGCCTAACATTTTTCTATGTTGAATCGTTTATTCGCGCAGTATGTAGGCCTTATGTGCAATTCAACTATTTATTTCTACGAATACTTTTTTTAAAATTTATTTTTTAAGCCTAAAATTTTTCGACTTTGTATCGTTTATTCGCGTAGTTAATATATAGGCCTTATTTGCAATTCAACTATTTATTTGTCCGAATGCTTTTTACATTTATTTTTTAAGCCTAACATTTGCCGACTTAGAATCGTTTATTCTTTCAGTTGCTATGTAGGCCTTATTTGCAATTAAGAA